CTGGGTATTTAGGAACTAAACAGCATAGTTTAGTGTTTATTTAAACCAATAGTCCAGGTTTGCACATCTTGTTGCATAATCTACAAATCTATATGCTAATTGGGTGTTACATTGTAAAAAGAAAGGCATTAATATGTTTCGTGGCTAGGAAACCCATAGGCTTTTAAACCAAAGGATTGTTGTACATGCAAATAGAGTCCTTTGATTTGATCCCCAATACCACAACAAATCATGGTTTGTGCACTAGACTTAACTAGAATCTGTGCTTTGTTGGCTTATAAAGTCTGGCCTGTTTAAACCATGGTTTGTTGTGATGTCTAAACTGGCTTATTCCTGGGTTGTGCTGCTCTTTACCCAGAAACAGAGGCATCCAGCAATAGCAGCCTGAAAATGAAATGGCTCTGGAGGTTGGCAAAATGGCTGGAGAGGAAGAAACCAGAAACAGGAAAATAAATCATGTTTATTTGCTCATTTGCAAGGCAACCTATCACTAAAGCAACAAACTACGATTGACATAAAATATGGTTTCTTGGACTGGTAACCTTTTCTTTCAATCCATGTCCATCATGGCTGGTAGTCCAGGGGGTGGAAACACTGAGGGAGCTATTATGCCTTATCATCAGAGCATTCCTTCAGAGAGGGTAGGGTTCCCACCTACCTGAAGAAGGCTATTGTATGGCCCCTCCTTAAGAAACCTAATTTGAACGCCCTGGACCTTAACAATTTTAGACCAGTCTCAAATATACCTTCTATGTAAGATGATAAAGTCAGCGGTATCTCTCTGCTTCAGGCAGTCCTAAATGATACTGATTTTCTGGACCCATTTCAAACTGGCTTCAGAGTTGAGACTGCTTTGGTAGTTCTAGGAGATGATCTACAAATCAGAATTGACAGGGAGAGTGTGTCCCTGTTGGTTCTGTTGGATGTCTCAGTGGTCTTCAATAGTATTGACCATAGTATCCTTCTGGATCAACTGAGGGAGTTGGAAATTGGAGGTACAGCTCTGCAGTGGGTGCATTTCTGTCTCTCAGGTTGGTTCCAGATGGTGATGCTTGGAGACTTTCACTCCTCTGAGGATGATCTGATTTGGGCTCCGTTCTGTCACCAGTGCTATTTAACATTTGCATGAAGCTGCAGGGAAAGATCATCTGGAGTAATGGCAGTGGCTGTTATCATAATATTGATCTACTTGTCCTTACCATCTTCTGCTGCTTCTTCTAGAAACAGCATCTCCTCTCTGAATGACTGCCTGCGGTGGATAAGGAAAAACAAATTAAGTTGAATCCAGACAAATAAGGGTGCTTGCTATTAAGAGTCCAAATCCAGGATCAGAGATGTCTCAACTGGTTCAAGATGGGGTTGCCCTCCCTCTGAATGCTCATGTTTAAAGTTTGGGGATGCTGCTTGACCCAATCCTTCAGATGTCAGCTCAGATAGAAACCATGGTCAAGAGTGTCTGCTATCAGCTTCAGCTGATTTGCCAGCTGCATCCCTGCAAGAGAATGACCTGAAAACAATAGTAAACATGTTGGTAACTTCTAGGCTTGATTTCTGCAATGTATTCTACATAGGGCTTCCCTTGTGCCTACTTCAAAAAGTGCAGCTGCAAAATATGGCAACCAGGCCAGTCTCTGGGACAACACAGGTAGACCACATATTAATGATTTTAAACACTTTGCTCTGGCTGCCGATATGTTTCCAGATGCAGTGGAAGGTGTTGGTAATTACCTTTAAAGCCCTTCATGGCCTGTGTCCAAGAACACCTTCAGGAGTACCTTTGCCCATACATTCTGCCTTCCCAGCTAAGGTCCTCTGGGGATAATCTTCTGGAGTTTGCTTCCATAAGATTAATGTCAACTACCCACAGGACTTAATGGTTGCCCCCTAATTGTGGAATGGCCTGCTGGGAGAGATACATCTGATATCTCAGACTAAAACCTTCAAGAGGGAGTTAAAGATGTATCTCTTTGAACAGACCTTTCTCTTTGAAGAGACCATGCCTCTTTATAAGAGCTCAGAATGGGAGAATTCACATTTCTTCAGGTAAAGGTATAAATTTTCGAGGACAGTGACATAAAAATGTGGTACTTCAGGTTCTAGAACTAAATACAAGCTGAGAGCAATGTTTGTTTTTCCTTACAGAGTCTGAAATTTCTACAAGACATTTGTAGAAAATATTCCTGTAGGAGCAATAAATCAGAATGCTTCAAAACAGTAGGATTTAATCACACAGTGTACACTAATGGATTTTTTAAGGAATTCATCTCCTTTTGCTTTTCCTGTATTTAGAACAAATTAAACTGTATTTTAAAATTGTGTTACATTTCCTCAATCTTGCATTTATTCAAATATCTAGGTGTATGAATGGACTTGACTGGGACAGAGGTGTGACTCACAGCAGATTGTCCTGGGTGCCTGAGTTTGCACTATACAACAAGCAAGTGTTGATTGTTATCATTGTTTGTCACATTTTTCAAACCCAGTCATGGTGACTGCCCACTGTCTCTTATTATGGTTGTCAGTCATACTAAGACATAGCAGCCTGTTCTAGGATTTTTCCATACAATTGTTTGTTGTGTCATTTGAACTTTGACAGCACAACCCGTTGTAGGTCAAGTCCCAGAGTAAGTGATGCTGCTTGGTAAGCTCATAGCATTCTCCCACCCTCAGCCTCACCCACAGCCTCTTCCCTTCCTCTGCATGAGAGGCCTGCTTTCAACAGGCCCTGGGATCCTTCAGTCAGTTTAGTGGTGCTGCCCTAGTAATGTGGCAGTGCTTCCAAGCTGATCAGCCCTCGGTCCTTCCTGAGAGGTAGGAGCCACAAAGAGACCACCCCCTGGGGCAGAGGGCAACTGGCTCGGAGCAGAGTGGATCAGGCACCCCCATTTTCTGCTCCCACTTCTGAAGCAGGAGAAGAAGTGACTGATCAGCTTCCCTGTATTTCCCATTGTGCTTCAGGCAGTAAGCCTTGCTTGTTGAGCAGAGACTCCCTGACAGCCCCAGACAGCCAAAATCTGCTCGCAATCACAAGTGCCATTCCTCTCTGCAGTGTCCCCTAGGCCTAGGGTACTGCCTGGAGGAATGAAAGGGAAGGAGGTGAGGGAAGGGAACAAAGCAAACAGGATGAGCCTGACTATTTGGAAAGCAGGCCTCGGGTAATAACCAGATTAGTGCATCTTGAAGAATGGGCAGTGTGCCAAACAACTCCTGGGAGAATCAGGTCAACACAATCTGATTTGTATGTCGTGGCAAGCCATGGTGGCCTGTTATTTTGTGTAGCAGCCATGTGGCTTAGCATGCTATCTGAACCCAGATGATTTTTTCCACTATGGGTTACTTTCTGTACATAAGCCTCCTTGAGAACCCATTGCTTGTGGTAGTGTTGCTTAGGGCAGCTTGTCATGATACCTAAACCTGGAAGGGCAATTTTATCATGGGTTGTTGGGGATGGCTCGGTAGCTTCACAAAGAGAAGTACAAAAACTAGTGCTGCTGCTATTCCCAACCCATCCCATCTCAGCGCCCTATGCCTCAAGTTGCACTTTTTCATATAAATCTTAAAGAAAGGACATGGGAGAATGTCCAAAATGCATTCACATTTTAAACATTTATTTTTGGTCCTATGAAATTGTGCAGGAGTGAACGTCTATTGCTAGAAATTTTGCATAATTTTCTCCTCTGTGTTACTGCTGTCTCTTGAAAGTTGTGCAAATTTCCTTTCTATTTTACTCATCTGCCTTGAAATTTATGCAATTTCCCCTTCTGTTTTACAGTACTGTCTTGAAATTTGTGTGTTTTTATCATCCTGTCTCATCTGCCTTAAAATTTGCATATGCTTATTCACTCAGTCCCTGCTCTCCTTTAAAACTTACAGAATAACACAGATGCATTAAATAAGTTGCTAAGATGATGCCTGCAAATAATGTATAGAGGCCACCTTTGGTTACTTTTCAATAACCATTAGATTACTTTTTTTCTCTTTTTGGAAATGGGATTTTCATTAATCTACCTTCTTTGCAGACCAATAACAAAAGCATTTCCCAGCAACATATCAATCAAGCCAACCATCAAAACCTATAACGTTGTATTTTAATGTCTTTGCTTCTTGGTCACGTCTTTTATTCAGACTTGATGCAACATAGGTGCTGAATCCAACTAGAATAAGCAATACATATGCATTAGTAGACCAAACTTATTGTAATATACAAAGCAAATGCCTAATCATTTTAATATGCCATGCTGGCTTTTCTGTTATTGAAATGCCTGTACATGAGCTGTTTTCATTTCCTGTTCAGATTATTTCTTTTTGGATAGGGATGAACATATATTGAATTCATCTTTCATATAATGTGTGCATCTTGGAAATGGGATTGCTAGTTTATCATCTAATGCTGATTTGTGGGCAGCAAACAGAGCCAGGAACCAGAAGCTATGCTAAAGAGTTAGAGCCAAACAGCACACCAATTCACTCCAGAGCCAGAAAGAACACAGTTACTAGGGAAAGTCACAGCCCAAATGAGAAATGTGCCAGCAATGATAGAGGCATAAGTCACTGGGAAAGCATATCCTCTGCATACAGAAGGTCCCAGGTTCCATTCTTAGCATCTCCTGCCGGAAAAAAGGGTAGGAAAAACTCCTGTCTGAAATCCTAGAGAGCTGCTGCCAGTTAGTGTCAATGATACTGAGCTGAATGGACCAGTGGTCTGACTCCATATAAGGCAACTTCCTATATTCCTAAATTCTTACCTGTAAACAAAATTAGGTTCCATTTTGTCTGTGTTTCAGTGCCAATGTGAAGCAAGTTATTGGATCTGCATTGCTATACATAAATGTGTCATCATCAGCATCATGATGGCCAAAAGAAAGCATTTCCATTGTTAATCTGGCCTGCTATACCATGTAGGCTATAGTATTTTATGTCAGTCTTAAGCCTAAATTTCCCCCCATTCATTGTCCATGTTGAAAATATCCTTAGGGCTTCATTTTGGTGTGATTTAACAGGGATAAGGTGATACGGGTTGTTCCAGAGAATGACAGAGAAGCAGAGATGCTGAAGGTTCTTGCTCAGCAACTTAAGGTGAGTTTGTTCTTTGTGGTGTTTGACAGCTGCCTGTCATCAGAAAATTTATACAAAGGATTATTGGTTCACATGTTATCAAGTGAAGATACACGCATCACTGATATATGGAGTAACAGTTTCTGGCCGGTTTCTCACCATTCTATTATTTAATTAATCTAAATTGACTATCATTACAAGGCAGCTTGGTTGGTAGGAATCCATAGCTTTAGAATTTGGCTTATACCAGCTCAGACTATTTGTCTTTCCTCATACTTTGAGTTTAGTGCACAGTACATATGCAACTAAGTAACTGTAGGACTTTTGCAAATAAAGAGGGCACAGAAAAACAGTTCTGCAGGACACATGAGCCCTTTATTATTTCTGTGGTTCAGTAACCTTTGTCTGGTGACATATCAAACATCCCTCTATTTTTATTATAATCCTTCTTAAGCAGCAAATATTTGGAGCTTCATACTGCTTTTATAAGCAGTACCTATGCATACAGAGCCAGTCCTGCTATCATGCAGAGTAAAGCAACTGCCTCGGGTATACTGGGAGCCAACAGCAGCAGGTTTCTAAGCATTCCTGCTGAGGTCCACTGCAATTTCCCTCTGCAAAACCTGTCCTATACCACTAAGCTAGCCCTGAAGATGCCATTTTGGGGCCAACACTGAAGTAAGATCCAACTGCCAATGCAGCCAGCTTCTGCACAGAACAGGTAAGGAGTGCTGTCTTGTTCATTGCCTCGTCCAGCAAAAGATCACATGCTGGGGCTGGCCCTGGCATGCAGGCATGAAAGATTTCTAGCCAAGATTTTTTGCAGTACTTATCTAGGAGTATCTTTCTGTGGCCCCTTCCTGTGTAACTTGTCAACAACCAAGCCAATCAGCACAACATGAAATCAAAAATGTCCAGAACTTTTTTTAGGATGTGAGCCTGTGGGTTTTTTTTTTTTTTTTTGGCTTTGGCTTTGGCTTTGGCTTTTGTTGTGTTGTGTTGTGTTGTGTTGTGTTTTGCAAGGTATGGTCTCCTTAATCTATTCCAATCACTGTATATAAGGAAAGGACCAGAAGATAGCATTTGCCAGTCTGGCATATGTTCTTCTATTCAGTACATGAGGACAGGTAGCTAAACTGTCAGTAGCATAATGACTGTGGAGCACAGTAATGCTCTTACTACAGGAAAAGTGTAGGCATAAGCCCATTACTGTACTTTTACATGAGGGTACATATGGTTCCAGACAGGGTATACATATATCCCCCACTACTCATAACCTTCTCAAAAGTCTATTTAGGGTACAATCCTATGCATGTTTAAATAAAAAGGTCATTCAGCTCCCAGCATTCCCCAGATAGCCTTGCCCCAAAATGTCATATAACTGAAGCGCATATTTCTGCCTCTACAAATCTATCAGCATAGCAAAGGCAATAAGCTAAAGAGCTGGAGGACAGCAATAACATACAAATTACTTTAATTATATATTCCATTATGCTAGCCTTCAAGGTAAATTTTTGGTTTGAGAATGTAGACGTGTTTTAAGAAGCCCTGAATGCTTCTGGCTTATGTTGTAAATATAAATCACCTATCGCATTACTTATATTCTCTCTTCCTCAAGGGGAAAGCAAATAAATTTGAAAGCAGTATAATAAAGTTGAGAATATTTCCAAGAGTGAACTTGTTATACCTAAACCAGTAGAAGTCTGTGAAAGGTTTATTTGATTGATTTGTTTTCAGAGTGGCCCTCGGCATCTTAGCACTTTCCTCCAAGAACACACTGTTCCTAGGGAAATCTGAAAACTATTTTTGACAAGTCTATGCACTCTCTTTATAATGTTCTACCTAGTGTTAGCTATTTTAAAGCAACATATATGCAACTTGATTGAAAGAGGAGTTTCAGACCTAGACATGTGGCTTACATCTAATTCCCAAAAGGTCTCTCTCTAGCACAGCCTGGTTTATAGCTAACTTCAGAAACACCTAGCTGCATGTCCATCCCTATCCGAATTAAGGAATTTTCCAAAAACTAGCAAACTGACCTGCAGCAAACTCCCTTGTCCAATTCCAAAAACACATTTCATACTTAATGCTAGCAACATATACAGAACTCATTGCTCTGCACCTATACTTACCACACATATTATATAATAACATTCCTAAGAAATGTTTTGCCGATAGTACATGTTACATGTGTACTTTGTAACAATACAGCCAAGTTAACTTCCTCAATATAGCATCTATAGCTTCATCTATAGTGAAGCAATAATATATAACATAGGACCAGTATTACTTTTATGTACAAATAAACATTTTGATAAGAAAAAACACCAAAATCTGATTTATAATGGCATAATAAATCTGTATCATACAATGTACCCAAGTATTGTCTGGTTGTGATTAAGTTTATTTCTCAATTTGAAAAACTGGGAAACATCTTGTTATATAAAATAGTTGTAGATTCAGGGGCTAAGGTTGTTCTTTGCAAAACTCAGTGGGACAATTCAGATTAGATAAGTACAGGATTGCATTGTAAATCTGCTTGACTGTAGAGTGAGCAGAAAAGCATAAGGGTTGAAAACTAAGATATTACAAAGAATTTCTGGGTTTGCCACACTAATTAACATGACACATTTCAGCATAATGTTTTTGTAAGTGGTATGATGAAAGAGTAGGTTGAAGCAATTCCACTTTGTCTAATTCAGGATTAATTTTTAATGTTAAAAATGGAGCTAAAATGATCCTAACATTCAAATTGTAAACTTTTCTCAGGCTGCAATAAGAACCACATATTATTCACTAATAATTCAGGGATGATCATGTTTTTATAGCACATCAATGGAAAATGGCCCTTGATATATTATATTTACAGATGTTTGCAATCTAGACTGAATAAATATGAATTACAGGTTGGTTCCTGCACTACAGGTGGACCTGTGGCAGCCTGGTAGCATCTCCTACATTTCCAAGGGTGCCATTACAGATGTCCGTGTATCAAGGAACAATTCACAAATTCTTCTACCCTACCTGCAACAAGCGAGCATCCAGTATATGTAAGCATGGATTTTCATTCCTGAAAGTCCACCGGTTTTGTTGCATCATGGTTTAGAACTGTTACATCTGTTACATCTGGGCCTCCTCCTCCCGGTATACCCTTTTGTCTATTTCCCCCAGTACCCATTTCCTACAGAGGTTCCTCTTTCATCTAATCCCTCTAACCACCTCCTTTCGCATCCATGGCAGCGCTCTCCTCCGCCTTCCCAGCTTACTGACTAGAGGTATCGTCAAGGCTTGCTCCTCCAAAACCTCCCTTTTGAGTGCTATCCACCCCTCCTCAACTTGCTTACCTTCCAGTAACCTATCCCAGGAGACTTTCCCCAGTCTGACCTTCAGTTGGCCAAAATTGGCCCTCTTGAAGTCCAGCTTCTAGTGCTTGACCTGCTGCACGTCCCCAGTCCTCTGATCTCAAAGCAAAGGATGGAGTGATCACTCACATCCAGAGCTCCCCTAATCTGTACTTCCTGTATCAGCTTCTCCCTATTGGTCAAGACCAAGTCAAGGATGTTTCCCCCCCTCGTCGCCTCTCGGACCCTCTGTGTGAAAAACCCTCCTTCTATAGCTTCTAGGAAGCAACGTGACCTGGCTGTCACCGCCGAATGAGTCTCCCAACTAATATCCAGGAGATTGAAATCTCCCATAATTACTGTGTCTCTCCCCCGAGGTATCCTTAGAACCTGACCTGTAAGGACATCATCCAGGGTCTCAAGTTGACCTGGAGGGCAATAACATACCCCCAGTGTCAGGTCTCCTTCCCTGTCAAAACCCCTAAGTTTCACCCAGACTGCCTCTACCGAATCCCCATCTGTGCTGCATTCTATCTCACTGCATCCTATCCCTTCCCTGACTTATAAAGCCACGCCCCCACCCCTCTTCCCCTTCCTGTCCTGGATCTGAGAGTCCAAATTATTCTGTGCCCCCCTACCCCAGACAAGATCAGGAGGCTATAGGATTGCATTCTAAATCTGTTTAAATACTTGTTATTTCATTTTACCTAACTGTAGTCTGGGGAGTTACCATTAAAATGGAGGTAATATAATATTTTTTCTGTGAGCTTTTACTGCATTCAGAGAAGTTTCTTTCTTTTGACATAGAGTCCTCATATCTGATCTGCAAAAAGCAGTAGAAAAGCAAAGTGGTTCGAGGTTATCTAGAAACCGGAGATCATTATCAGGATACAGCTATGAAGTATATCATTCACTGGAAGAAGTATGTAACATTAAAATGGCATGTCACATATTTGCGAGTGCATGTTCTTATCCTTGAATAGGAAGAGACCACAGAAATAGCTGGCTTGTATTACTTTTTGTTTTTATAAGAGCCTTTAAAATAAGGTATCTTTAAAAAAATACCTAGATAGGCAACTCTAATAAGCAATGAAAAAGTCTTATGACTTCCTTAGAAGTAGTGGGAATACCTAGAGCACAGGGAAAGAAACTAAATGCTACTACATGGCCTCTGTTGAAGCCTTGAGAACTGCACTAGGGTGAGAAAGTAGAGCAGGGAAGTGATCGGCTGCTGATTCTGCTTTCTGCTCTTTATACTCTTGGAGTTGTTTGCAGTCTATTGTTTACTGATCCCTGAATGTGTTAGAAAGCTTTATTTGATCCTGCCTTGCACATTACTGATAAATAGTAATTGATACTACGTTGTTATTGTTTTTTTCCTATTCTGTAACAAAGTTGAAATGCTGTAATGTTAGTAGTAGTGAAAGGAACAGCTTGGCTTGCTTATTGTTGTGAAGATTAACTTATTGTAACTGATGTATCAGTTGCTTTCTTTGTGAACCACCCAGAGAGATTTGCCTATTGGGTGGTATGGAAATATAATAAATGATACATTAATAATTAGCTATCAACATATTGTGCTAGTATATCATTGCGGTATTTGATATCTCTGCTGAAGAAAAATAATTCAAATGTGTTCACACATCCTACTCTTTCTTTCTTTCTTTCCCAGATTCAAAGTTGGATGTATCATTTGAACAAAACTCATTCAGATCTTGTTCACATGTTCTGTGTGGGCAAGTCATATGAAGGAAGACCACTTTTTGTGCTAAAGGTAGATTTTAGTTGGTAAAATACTAGTGAAGTCATGGGAATATATAAGAGTCAATGGTTAGCTGCCTAGAAAAAAAAGATAAAATATACAGTCAGATACATTTTCTGTGAGTATTTTAAAAGCCAGTTGGTCCCATAATAAATATTACTGCAATAACTGCTTCCATATGAGCCACTGGTATTAGCATGGGAACTTATTTCATGATTCATAACAGTACTGCATCTGCCCAAATAGCAGCAGGTTGTGGTGGCAGCCAGTCTACCATCTCAAGGCTAAAATTAAACCAAAACCAGTAGGAATGACTTTTGCATCCTTTGGTATCCTTGATGAAATATGAGTCATCCCTTTGTTCGATTCTAGAACTCTTGAGCCTGTTGGCATTTTCAGCATTCATTCTTCCATGCTTTTTATTTCACAAAGGACAGGAACTCTTTGTGAGAAAGGCTGTAGCTCAGTGGCAGAGCATGTATGTTGCATGCAGAAAATCCCAAGTTCAGTCCCTGGCTTTTCCAGTTGGGGTTATGAAAGTTTGTAACTTGGAGACAGTACTGAGCTAGCTAAACTAATGGTCTGATTCAGTAGAAGGCTGCTTTCTTGCCCTTTACACACACGCATGTGCACGTGCACACGCAAAGGTAATACCAAAGGCTGTGCTAAGTCCAATCATTCTGGTTCAGATGATTTGCATCACAGCCATTCCTTGACTCGCGAAACACCTTCCTGCCACTATCCAGGCTTGCTCACTTCTTGCTGACTTGCAAGCCACAGATTCACAGGAGCTAATTCAAAGATCCAAATTCCTGCCCATTGCTTCAGAAGTACCACTTCTATAGAATGCTACCCAGTCCTATATGTTGCTAAAGGAACTTATTTGACATATTGTTCTATACATTATTATCATTACTATTTCATTCCTGTACTGCCTCACAGCCAAAGCCCTTTGGGCAGTTTACACAATCCACAAAAATAGATGATAAAAATGCAGTAAAAATATCATAAAATCAGGGGAGAAAGTTTTAAACAATTAAAAATAGATAATAAAAGCAGATAATACCAAGAAAAAAGGAGTGACTCTGCAAAACATCTGGTGATCCTCCTTACTCCCTGAATGGTTGAGTATTTAAAAACCTAAGAAAAGTGGGTTGTGCTAACCTGGTGCAGAAAAGATGACAGATTTGGTGCCAGCTGAACTGCAGGAAGGAGGTTATTCCATAGATGGGGACCACCACACAGAAAACCCTCCCCCTTGTTGCCACCCTCTGCACTTCCCTCAGAATTGGCACTTGAATGAAGGCTCCAAAGATACTGTCCAGGTAGATTGAGGTTGAGAGAGGCACTTCAATAGGTACTAAAATCCTAAACTGTATGAGGTTTTATAAATTAAAACCAGCACCTTCAACTGAGACCAGAAGCATCCAGGCAGCCAAGGCAAGCAGACCAGAACTGGCCTTATATGTTTGGACCTGTGGGTCCTGGTTATAAATTTGACTGTCACATTCAGCACCAGTGGCACCCCACTTAGACTGCATTGTAGTAATCCTATTCAGAGATTATCGGAGGGTAGAGTACTGAAACCAGTCTGTCTCTGTCCAGATAGAGGTATAGCTTGCCCACCAGCCAAACCTGGTAGAAGGCACACCAAGCCATCAATGCCATCCGAACCTTGAATGATCAAGATGGATCAAGGAACACCCCCAAGCTACAAACCTGTTACTTCAGGGGAAGTGCAAGCCCATCTAGAACAGTTTGAATGTTCCCCTATGAGATGTTCAACCAAACCACCCACCAGCAGCATCTCAATCTTTCTGGAATGAGTTTTTGTTTGTCAGCCCTCATCCAGTCCATTGAAATAGCCAGGCATTGGTTTAGCACATTCACAGCTTTACCTGATGGCAGTGAAAAGAAGAAATAGATCTGCATCTCATCAACATACTGATGACAACACATTCCAAAACTCTGGATGACCCTACTCAGTTGAATACCATGGGGCTCAGAACAGAGCCCTGAGCAACTCCATGCTGGAGAATTCACCACTCGAATAGGAGTGGAACCATGACAATGCAGTTCCCCCCACTCCCAACTCAGACATTTGCCCCAGCAGGATACTATGGTTAATGGTACCAAAAGCTGCTGAGAGATCCAGGAGTATCAACAGGGAAGTACTCCCCATGTCATTCTCCTGGCATAGGTCATCATACAGGGCAACCAAGTCTGTTTCTGTGCCAAAACCAGGCCTGAACCCCAACTGAAATGGATCCAGATAATTAGTCTCATCCAAGAGTTCCTGAAGTTGACTGACAACCATCCCTGTTTCCTTACTACATGCTGGTAGTGCCAAGTTATCAAAAGGCTTGTCTGAATTCTTTGGAGGCTTCCTACTTTTTCCATGACTCAGGGATGGCACTGCTCTACATCAGCTGCATCTTTTCACAAATAAATTAGTTCTGACTCCCCTTTTTCCTTATTTATTTTGAGGATTCCTTATCTGATTGACAATAAGGTAACAGCCCCAGTCTCACACTTAGTGAGTTTCCCTCCTTCCTGGTTTTCATTGTTGGCAACATATGCAAACTAATTTCTTTGACCAATTCTTTTAAAAGCCTCCATAAAAATTACAGATGTAAATTTCTTTTGAGGCTGTTATGAAGGAAAAGCAATTCAACTATTTCCCTTTGTCCATTGGTGGATTTAATCTCTAACAGCATGGTCAATTACTTTTGAAACTATAAGCGACCATTTACAGTAGTCAAATGTTTGCATGAAAAGTTCAACAAAGAGCAAAATTGCACTGGCAATTTTTTACAGCACATGTCCATTAAGCCTGCACAACTCTTGCTCCTGGCCTTTGTTTCTTATCCTTATTTATGCATGTTTACTGTTACAGCTAGGCAAAAGAACACGCGTTTATAAGAAAGCTGTCTGGATGGACTGTGGAATCCATGCAAGGGAATGGATTGGCCCAGCCTTTTGCCAGTGGTTTGTGAAAGAAGTAAGGATTGATTTACCTACAGTATTGCAAAATTTAGGAATTTCTTACCCAGTATTTACAATATGCTTCTATGACAAGGATCAGTTCATTTCTGATGTCTATTTGTAATGGCAAATTAGAATGTAGGTGCCTGTGTCTGTCAGAGAAACATTAAACTTCAAATATCCATCAAAGTATTCTTAGCAGCCATGGTGAAATTCCATCTGCTATTAATCCTGTCTTAGATGGATATGGCTGATATAACTCCATTGTCTTAGTGACTGTCCAAACTCTTGATACAGGACTTGATTTGGTAATCTTTGGAAGGTGACATTGATCAAGGTACTTCTGAGCAAAAATCTACTCTTGAGTTTTGCCATGAGCTTTTAACATGCAGTCAAGGGACTGCATGAGGTCGTTGTTTAACTGATTATTTTGAAAGGCAGAGAGTGCAGAAGCACAAATCACTTTCATTCCCTTATTTTATTTGCTTGTAAAATTTGCATTCTACATTTCTACCAAATGGTGCTAAAGACAGTTAATAGCAATAACAGAAGGATAATGCAATACAACGGAACAGCAATACAAATACAAAATACTACCATTAAAAATCAATACAAATAATACTTTTAAACCAGTTTCAGTATGTATACACATACAAATCAGTTTGGAGGCAGAATTATTCAGGCCTCTCTTGGCAAGGAATTCCATAGACAGTGAAGGCATTCTCTAAAGTTTCCACAAAATGAGCTTCAGATGTCATTGGGACAGATGGAAAAGCCTCTCCTGGCGATCTCAAAACCTAGTCAGGAAAAATGCATTCTTTCAAATAACATGATTCAAAGTCATGTAGAGTATGTAGGCCATAACAAGCACTTTGACTATGCCTTGAAATGGCCCAAAAACCATTGGCTATGATGTCATATGGAGATCAGATTTTCTCTATAACCTGCCCCCTCAATAGTCTCACTGAAATTTCCAAACATTCTTTAAAGGGCGTTTGAGAAACTTGACAGAAGTTTACTCTTAAAATTGACCTAAAATTATTGTAAAGATCTTCCAGTTCACCCCCCTGCCACCATTTAGTTGTATAAACATGATTTTAATTGCAGTTTTAATGCTGATAATTACTTGTATTTACAGCCATTGTAATACAGAGCTGTTGTGAAGATCAGGTGGAAGGGGTGGAAGAGCTTTGCATGCTCCCTGATATCCCTGGGGAAAGGAAGGGCTAATGGAAATGTAATAAATGTATGAATACATAATAACATAAGAAAAGCCATACTGGATGAGACCAAAGGTCCATTTAGTCCAGCAATCCATACACACAGTGGCAAACTAGCTGCCCACAGGACCCCTCAAGCAGGACGGGTGAAAGACCTCCTCTGGTCCAGGCTCCTCCTCTGCCAAAGGAGGAAGCACATAGTCAGTAGTCTCCCTCATGAGTCTGTCCAATCCCCTATTAAAGGCATCCTGCCATCACTGCTTCCCATGGCAGCACATTCCATAGTTTAACTATAGATTCTGTGGAAGATGTACTTCCTTTTATCTGGCCTAAACCTCCCACCAATCAGCTTCATGGCATAACCCTGGGTTTGAGAGTTATGAGAGGGAGAGAAACGCTTGAAATACCTATGATGCTTCTCAGTAGTGGTATGTTATGCATGTTTTTAAAAGATGGATTGCAGTTCCATCCTGCCACCACAGTGAGGCATATCGAGCATGCGTTTATAAATAGCTCTGGGCAGCCCACACCTCTGCTCTGCTATGCTCGTGGGCTTATTGTTTTTGTTTATACACTCATCTTTACCTTTGAATCTGAAAACAGTGCAACAGGTAAAATACAAAATCTACAAAAGAGATCTACAAAGTAATAATTGAATGAGTTAGAATAGCAAAGCAGCAGTCCAGGTGATCTTGAGCAATAAAACAATAGTCAGATAATTTAGAAAAACAAGCCTGAAGTCTGGATAATCACAAATTGTCTATGTATAACATGAGTTATCAATTTAAGGCATCTTTGCTGGAGGTTTCAGATGAGTGCTGTTCCTGCTAGCAAACAAAATAAATCTGTATCCTATTTCATAGAAAGTGTATGTCTCTGCATTCCCTTTGAATGAATACAATTGTGTTCATTTTTCAGAAAGTGCAATATTCCATAACTGCCAGTACTACAAATCTATGAAAAGCAAGACAGATTTTCTACTTCCCACCTTATCCATGATTTCACTGCAACAAGTTTAAAATACGATCTGCTTTATGCAACATGGCACCATGTTATTAATATTAAAAATATCTAAAATGTTTATTATAATTTGCTTTTCATTTCCTCTGTAAAAATTTGAGAAGTTATAACTGAATTCAATTTAGAATAAGACTGAATTCACTAATGCATTTGGATAAACATGATGATAAAGAACTGTATCACCACAGCAGCTTCTGCATGAAGATTGTCAAACCGCACCAGACCTATGAAATTATTAATCAGCAGTGCATAGACACTTCTGAATGCATTAAGATTTTCTTATTTCTTGTCATATATTACTTGTATGGGGTGATTGTGAAGAACATCTATTCCTGTATGCCATGAAGAATCAGTTCGATACCTTCAACTCACACAGTTGTTCATACTTCCATGCCTGCAGTAGAGCAAACTGTCTGCAGATTGTTAAATTTTTATCTTATTATTATTTTATGTTTTAATATAGGCCAGGATCAGATTTAGTAGAATGGGAGGGGCTTCCCACTGGTCTGTTTCCATGCTATCCCAGTAACTTAGGTGCACATCCTCAAGCCATGAGGCAAATCTGGCCTTTCATAGTTCCCAGTCTGGTTCCTGAGGGACTCTGGGATAATAACGCTCCTTTTCCTGCCTCCACCCCTTTTCCTGTCTGTTGACAATTTGGTGGTTGCGCTGCATTTGTGCATTTTCCCCCATTCTAAAAAGTTGAAATTTATTTATTTACAACCTGTATAACATTCCATATCTATGCAGATTCCACAGCAGTGAACAACATAAAAAGAACAAAAAGATAACAATAAAAAACCACAATATCAAAACAGAATATCAATAAAACAACTGAAGAAGGCTTCTTGGAATAAATATACTTTCAGAAGGTGCCAGAAACAACACAATATTGGTGACTGCCTGGCTTCTAGAGGCAGGGATTTCCACAGAAATGGAACCACCATGCTAAAGTCTTTTCCCTGTTGGACCATGGAACTCCTGTTGGACCATGGTGCCATGTGGAAACACCTTTTAGGCATTTAGCTACTGGCAGTAAGAGCATGGAACTAATATGTGTTGGAATTTTAGTATTTTGGCATCAGTCCTGGATAGTTTTGTCTTCTGCCTCATCCACCACTAGAATATGGTTCCTGAAGTCTCCAAAATTGAATTTAGTTCTCAGACTGAAAAACATTCAGTACCCCTGCAGTAGAATATGAAAAACAGGAAGCAGGAATCCATGTTGCAAGATGGTAATAAAGTATACTATCAAACCCATCAGAAGTGTTTCAGTTTTCATACTTTACCAGAGCAGTATGGGTCTTGGGCCATGGGAGGAAGAGCCGCTTCCCAATGGCATTATCCCATGTGCCTACAAAATATACAGGGCTATGTGGGGACAGTTGACCAGATGAACCCACCAAATTATAGCTCACTCCCTTTTTCTCCCTCCCCACCCCATCAGTGAATTAGTGATTGGGTAGATATTGTAGCATCACATGTACAGGGATCCTATATTAACTTCTGACCTGGACCTCAGTCTCTGGGTCTCAGCAAATTCTGTAGCAGGATGCCTCATGTATAAATGGCAGTTGCACTCTTAAGCTCCATATACTACTATGACTTACTACTAGTAGTAGTAGTAGTGGTGGTGCTTTTCTGTACCACCCTTAGCTGAAGCTCTGAGTGGTTCACAACTTTTTAAGTCACCCATCCAGATTTCAATCAGGCTCAGCCCTGCTTAGCTTCCAGGTGAGGCAGGATCATTCACTTCAGGGTATGCAGAAGCTACTCTCTATATACCTTGAAAATAGTAACTAATAAGGTCAAGCTGGTATTTTATTATTACATTAACTTTGCTACATGAAAAGAATGTTTACGTTCTGCTTTACCTGGATTTGTTAGAAATATTGCAGCTTTTGGAAATACTGGGCCAAAAAGCTTTGTATTAAAATCCAGGAAGAAGTAAAGAGCAAAGCTTAATTGTGCAAAAGCTTAGCTCCTCAAGCTGTCTACAGGAATGAGGCTTCATCCTCAAACATATAAACGTTATGGTGGTAGTGCTGCTGCTGCTGATCTAACATTACATGATTTGTAAACCTATTGACAGCTGAAGTATGAAAGATACAGCATCCATTTCCCCCATTTCTGAATGGTGTGTGTATATATTCTCCTTCAAAATTCATACATAAAACTGGATAAAGCAGTTTGGGGCACTTTACCTAATCACCTATCCTAAAGGCAAGAAGAATATCTTAAAGGAAAAGCAATTTGAGCATCAAGCATAAGGAAGGCCGTAAGGAACTTCAGAACAAAGAACAGCCTAGCTGGATCAGACCAAAGATCCATTTAGTTCAGCACCTAGTTTCACATAGTGAATGACAGGCTTCCTCTAAGAAGCCTTCAAGCAGGACATGGAGGCTATAGCCTACTCTCATTATTCCTCCCCAGAAAGTAACTATTGAGGGCCACTGGATATTGTCATCATAGGCATATCTTCAAGAAGGAGTTTCCCTACCTGTGACTTGGGACTACTCACATATCTCTTTTTTCAAAAAGCAAACATGAGGGTAGCAACCATGTGAGAGAAGGTTAGCACTCTCCCTTTATTCTGCTTTTGTGTTGAAAATTGCCCTCTGAAACTTATTGTCCTCTTTAAAACAAAAGCCAAAAAATGTATGGGCTCATTTCAGACCAAGATTATCCTGCAAAAAGTTTGGAGAATGATGGGGAAAGACTGTTCCTATGGGTTAAATACAAATAATGCAAAATTGTTCAAGTTTCATTTCTTTCGAATGACTTTTTATATCACTTCATAGGCTCTTCAAACATATCAGAGTGATCCAGCCATGAGAAGAATGCTAAATCAGTTGTATTTCTATATCATGCCTGTTTTTAATGTGGATGGATACCATTTTAGTTGGACCCATGTAAGTATTTTCTTAATTTTAAGGTATTAGTATCTCATATAAAACTTTTTATTTATGTATTTAAGGATATGTACTTGAAAAAACTGGAATACACAGATTTGTTAAATGTCTATGATGTAGTTTTACCTTCATATAGTTCGTATTTTCATGTTCTGAAAATAGGATCGATTTTGGAGAAAAACAAGATCAAAGAATTCAAGGTTCCACTGCCATGGCGTAGATGCTAATCGTAATTGGAAAGTGAAATGGTGTGGTAAGTCAAGAAATAGCTTGAATTTAAACAGCAAACAATTTTATTATCCAGTGTATTAAGCAGTGAATATATACGGTTAGAGATATGCTTATTCTATTAGAGTTATGCCAGGATTGAATTCAACTCTTTTCTAGTATTATCTACATTTTCTCCTCCAGAGTTGTAGTTCAGGCCTTGCAACTTTATTTTGCTCTCTGACATGTAGGTTGGAATCTTGTACATATTTAACTTTAAGGAAGTCCCACTGAACCCAACGGGGCTTAAGTCAAAGATTTTCAAGATCACACTGTTGATTTCTGCTATGTTTCCTTCCAGCCTCAACATTTTGTGGGCTTCACAGGATAGTTTAAGGCACAAAGTGTATGGCATAATTGCAAATAATCATTATTGAGGTACAAGGTAGCTAACAGTGGTAAACAGATCAATAAGAGCAAAAAAGAATGAAACAGCAGGGTATTTTTTAGTGTTTAAGACATTTGTTTATTGTGTATTTATTTAAAACTTTTATATTCCAGCTACTACCTAGGTCTCAGGATGGTCTTGCAATAAAATATGTGTATCATTTAGTTACATGATTTAGTTGCAATCCTTAAAACAACCCTGTAAGTAAGTATTGTTACTTTCCATATTACAGATGAGGTGACAGAGCCTATGAGAGTTTGGCTTGTCTGACCTCACTGCTTTGTCCATGGCATAGCTCAGTGTTTCCTGATTCTCAGTTCAGTCTCTTGACTGCTATACACCAGCTCTAATTTTTGTTGTTGTTGTTAGTCGCGAAGTCATGTCCGACCCATCGCAACCCCATGGACAACAGTCCTCCAGGCCTTCCTGTCCTCCACCATCCCCTGGAGTCCACTTAAGCTCACACCAACTGCTTCAGTGACTCCATCTAGCCACCTCATCCTCTGCTGTCCCCTTCGTCTTTTGCCATCTATTGTTCCCAGCGTTAGGCTCTTCTCCAAGGAGTCCTTCCTTCTCATTAGGTGGCCAAAGTATTTGAGTTTCATCTTCAGGATCTGGCCTTCTAAAGAGCAGTCAGGGCATCTAGGGCTGACCTGTTTGATCGCCTTGCAGTCCAAGGGACTTGCAGGAGTCTTCTCCAGCACCACAATTCAAAGTCCTCAATCCTTTGGCGCTCAGCCTTCCTTATGGTCCAGCTTTCACAGCCATATATTGCAACTGGGAAAACCATAGTCTTGACTATACGCACTTTTGTTGCCAGGGTGATGTCTCTGCTTTTTAGTATGCTGTCTAGATTTGCCATAGTTTTCCTCCCCAGGAACAGGCGTCTTTTAATTTCTTGGCTGCAGTCCCCGTCTGTGGTGAACTTGGAGCCCAGGAAAATAAAATCTGTCACTACCTCCATTTCTTCCCCATCTATTTGCCAGGAAGTGAGAGGACCAGATGCCATGATCTTAGTTTTCTTAATGTTGAATTTCAAGCCAACTTTTGCGCTCTCCTCCTTCACCAGCATCAAGAGGCTCTTTAGTTGCTCTTCATTTTCTGCCATGTGAGTGGTATCATCTGCATATCTGAGGCTGTTGCTATTTCTCCCAGCAGTCTTAATTCCAACTGGTGATTCATCTAGCCGCACCTTTCTCATGATGTGCTCTGCATATAAGTTAAATAGGCAGGGCGACAGTATACAGCCTTGCCGAACTCCTTTCTCAATTTGGAACCAATCAGTGGTTCCGTGTCTAGTTCTCGCTGTTGCTTCTTGACCCGCATATAGGTTTCTCAAGAGACAAATAAGATGGTCTGGTACTCCCATCTCTTTAAGAACTTGCCACCATTTGTTGTGATCCACAAAATCAAAGGCTTTAACATAGTCAATGACCAATTCTAATTAGATTATGTTTAATTGATTTATATTGTATCCTAAAGAAACTGAGAAGCTGTCCCCTACTTTTGCCTCATGGTGAGGAAAAAAAACTGTCTGGTGAATCTATCTCAATGTCTCTGGTCTACGTTATTCTTTCACACACAGAGAGAGTTCCACTGATATCTGAGGCAGAAAAACCATGTTATCCATTGGCAGACTCTGCCCTCGCAGGGTGAGATCCAAAGCAACCTATGTCCCTTGGGATACTCTTCCAGAGATTGTAGCATTTCAGGCTTTATCCTCTGTTGGACAAAGTAAAAGAAAATGAAATGAATACATTCTTTAAACCTCAGACTCAGTTGCCTTTTTAAAACATGAAGAGTAGACATGCATTTGGGTGGCTCTTTCAACTATGTATTCCTTTTTATTGCATCAAAGGTTTCCAGCCCAAATTGGGAATTCATTCCTTCTTTTCAGCCTATGTTACCTCGCACACCATCAGGACACACATTCATGCTGCTCTGCACAGAGGGTACTCCCATGTGCTTTTTTTTCTGGCTTCCAATGAGCTGATCCTCACAACAGTAGTTTTACAGAGTTGATGTCAATAGTTTTTTCAGCAGCAAAAGGGAGACAAGAAACGGCCATATATTTGCCCAAGGACAGGAAGAAAACCAACAATAGTGACAGAATTGGAGCTTGGGAAGTTTTTGCTCTGAATCCCTTGAACATTTGTCATCTTACATTGCCTTTCTTGGTGAGATGAAAAAACGAACAGAGAAATCAGAGTTTATATTATCTTGACCTGTTTTAAAAACCTTCACTCACTGTTCTCATGGAGATGTCTTGGTTCCATATTCAGTTTTCAGGCCTTGAAATTCTTAACAGGTGCTTGAGGGCAGGTTTGTTTTGAGCACAAAACCTATTTTTACTTTTTGTTTGCCCTTCTCTGGCACTGAAGATTTTTTACTTTTTGTTTAAGGCAACATTTCTGTGTCAGCTCTGTTTCCCTTCTTTTCTGGCATAAGGACCTTGATGCATTCATTGCTTACCTTTTGTTGCATTTTGCTCTGTATGGAATGCAAGAAGAATTCTTGTAGCCCATGATGACATGGGTGAAGTTATTCATTTCATTGTATCTGTCATTTTATGACTGACTTAAAATTAGCAAATTTGATTACAAATCTAAGCTGCCTTTATTTGGGAGCAGGTCTTGTGGGATCAGAACTCAGTGGTACATCATGCACATTGGGGAAAAAACATATTTCGTTTATGTTCTGGTGGTTTTGAACTAATAGTGACTAACCAAGAAAAAAATCTTGGGGTTGTAATGGACAGCTCAATGAAAATATGTGGCTGATATGAAAATTCCATGTTACACATAATTTGGAAAGGAACTGAAAATAAAACTGCAAATACCATACTCCCCTTGTACAAATATATGGTGCAGCCACACTTGGAATACTGTGTACTCTGTGAATAGAATGCTGGACTAGATCTGATGCAATATGACTTTCTTATATTCTTATCACATGCACTGAAAGCAGATACCAGGTTTGATTATTGGCATCTCTGCTTAAAATGAATTCAGTTGGTGAGTTGGGGAAAGACCTCTGCCAGTGATATTGAAGAGCTGCTAACAGACCTACTTGACAATATTACAGAATATATAACTAGATATGTTTAGACAAGTGTAACTTATGACATCTCAGAGGATACCTGTCAGAAGAAAATGGTACTTTTGGAAGCACAGGCTCTAATTAGATCATGTAACTGCAACCTGGAAATTGTGGGAAATGGAAGTGAACAGAGGTACCCATAGCATAACTTTTCAGCCTGATATAAACTGTCTTACTGTTTCATATCACAGTATCTACCATAATGCAATAGGAGGTAGAGAAAGGTCCTAAAGCAACAGCAAAACAAACACTATGAATTAAACATATTTATTTATGCCCACTTTCTGCCAAAGGTCTCTGTGTTAGGTATATGTAACACTGTCTGCATTAACATTGCATGGTTCTGTCCATTAACCAGAGTGGGAGGGAAGGGGTAACTGTAATAGACAACATGAGATTGACCTTTCTGCTTGAACTATGTCCTTCCTGTCCCTTTACTCCTCCTGCCTCACCTGAAAAGGCAAAAGGTCACACGACCGTTTGCCTTCTCTCTCTTTCTCACCCCCCCCACCTGACACCCTGACCAGAGAAGCATGTGTTTCCCTTCCCTCCTCTTTAAGCTAACCAGCTAGCAATGAAGTAAAAAATCCTGCATGAACATTCCAACATGGCTTCTTCATGCAAGTCACATATGGATTGTTTGTAAGTAAATCAACCCTTTTAAATTTTATTTTTTAAGCTGCTCAGTATGGATTCTAACATATCCAGATGAAAGCAACAGTCTCTTAATTAATCCCACTGTTTAATGCTTACCTCTGCTAAACCTGCATTTAACCAAATATACAACATGTTCCCAACACTGTGGCTTTTCCCAAGCTCCTAAAACTCCCATCTCCACTTTCTAAAGGTACCCTCCTCCACCACCACCTTCTTCAGAGTCCCAGTCATGGTGACCCAGTGATGCCCAGCAAGAGTGGCAGTTGACTTCACTCACTACAATACCTTGGCCGTGCTGGTCCCCTGTGGTTAAACAAATGCCGATTAGAAGAATAGGATTCATGCTTCCAGAAGCTTATGAATAGCTACCGAATACAATAAATCCATATATCATCAAATATCTGTCAAACAAAAATAGGGGTACTTCAGTGAGATCAGCAGGACGGAACTACATAGGACCTCCTCAGGTGAACAATACATGAATAGGGCTATAGAGGACATACACATCATGGCACAGTACTGGAAAAGTCTTCTCCATCCATGTTATGCTCTATTAATTCCCTTCCTAATAGCATCTCCTGCAAAAACCATTGAAGTTGCTCTGTAATAAAAGGACTGTAACAGTTTTGCTGTTGAAAATAGTAAAAATGTATTAAAAAAATTAAATGTCATGCTTACTGTATAATGGAATAGTGGCAACATTTAGCAGCATTGACTATCTGGAAAGGAAACTGTGGGAAGACCAAGTTCTGGCATGTTTTATTTAGACAATCAAGACTCAGTTCAGCCCCAGCTGGTCACATGAGTTAGAAGCAGAGAGGGCACCAAAGAAATGTATTCACATTAAACCAGTGTGAATTCCAGTGGGCCAGACTTACATGGATTGAATATGATTCCAGTAACATTGCTCAGAAAACATAGGGTTTTCATGACAGATTTAGAGTCACTAGCAAACAAGTTAGCATGGAAAGAGTACCTGGAGATAGGAACCTTGAAAACGTCTGGACTGTGGCATTAAAGGTCAAGAAATTAAAACAGGATGCTCCTAATGGCTAGATAGCTTATGGTTTTCTGTTCAGTGGATGTTATCTGCACTCCCCTGCTCACAACTTGCCCATCTTTGCTCTTTGAAAATTCTTGTTGTTGAGCATGAAGGGGTATCCTTATGTCATACAGCACAGTTACTATTGCCAGAATTTTTCTTCTGACCACAATAAGAGCTAATATTTATCTATTGAGTAAATTATATAATCCTATTATACCTCATACTATTAAGAATTGTCATTCTGGCTCCCATCCCCTTAATGCTGAAGGATCTTATTATGCCTTTCATAAATAATATTTATGAAAAAGAGTTTTTAATAAGCTTCTTGTAACAAAAAGTGAAGTGGTCATTCCTATACAGAGCTACTGAAAATATGCATTTATCATGTTGAAACACAAGTCCGTTTCACATACTTCTGGCTATTTCTAACCATGTTTAAAGACAATGCCAAACTCCAGATCCAAAACCAGGTAAATCTCATGATCACTAAACTGTGGTTAGTCATTGAGATTCACAACAACCACATTCCTGTATTCATAATACACATAAGAATAAGAAGAGACATGCTGGATCAAATTAAAGGTCCAATCACTTTTGCTATTTAAATGAGTATTCTGAAGCACTGACGCTACTGCAGCAAACATCCAGAATGATTTAATTTAAACAGTTGTTAAGAGAATAGTAAGTTTTGATATGTAGAATACCTTGTCCCTACTGACAAAATGTTATGCATCTCAAATTGACTATTGTGTTTTGCTCTTCACAACTGATCCCATTGGAAGTATCTTCTGTATAATTTGGGATCCCTTCCATCCTTTTTTGGTACAAGCAAGCTTATTTTTATCTGTCACGAATACATGTCAAAACAGAGCCTCACCAGAACAATTTTATAGACATTTTCATGGCATATGCCCAAGCATATTTTAAGTTCCAGTTTAATGTTGTGTGCATTATCATTCCTTGTCTTAGATGAAGGTGCTTCTCTCCACCCCTGTGATGACACCTACTGTGGTCCTTTCCCAGAATCTGAGCCAGAAGTTAAGGCTGTAGCTCAGTTCCTTCGCAAACACCGGAAGCAAATAAAAGCTTATTTGTCTTTTCATGCATATGCCCAAATGTTGTTGTATCCATACTCTTATAAGTATGAAATTATCCCAAATTTCAGCTGTGTGGTAAGTATAGAACTTGAAGAACCTTGCATGCCACCTCTGCTCCTTTAATTAAAAGAAATGCATATACTTTGAGGCATCCATAGATGATGGAAAAGCTGGGTTGAATAATTCACATTGACTAGTTAAATGAATGTTTCATTCATGACAAGGAGGTTAAATTTATCTTTGTCCTAATCAGCTGTCCCCTCAAACAGTTTTCATGGAACTGATCAGAGGGGAAGAAATCCTACTTCTGGCCAGAACATACCTGGCATGTGCACAATGGCTTGTTTCAACCACTGTGATTATCAAACCAGGCCTTTAGATCTAGTGGGTATTTTGATATAGTGGGTAAAGTGTTGGGCCACTACAGGTTTGAAACATGGTGTAATTCCATACATCAACAAGGTAGAATTGGACATAAATCCGCTTGCGTTCAGCACCTGAAAAAGAAGAGCAGGCAGTAAGGGAGGGTCACTGGAGAGGGCAAATTAATCAGCTTTCTAGCCTCCATTATAGGACTAGAATGTCCTCTTGGCACTGGTGCAAAACTATATTGAGTATATGATGCCTGGAGTCACGAAGCTTGGTTGGACTTAAAAACCAAGCAGAATTTGGACTTTGTGCTCCCTATTGATCCTGACTCTGCCCTGGACAGGAGGGACCGTAATTGTGGTATCATGCTAGGTTTTGTGGCTAACCAGAATCCTTGCCCTCCTTCCCAGTTGTTGAGATGGAATCTCCCAGAAGTTTTGTTGACTTGGACAGCAGCAAAAGTTCTCACTGTTTTACCAGACTTTTCAAAGCTCGGCACAAGTCCAACAAGCTTTTCCCCAATTTTCAAAAGGATCAGAAAGTCACAAAGGTAGTAGTAGTAGTAATATAGCAGCAGCAGCAATGGGCCATCTCTCACTATTTCAGAACTTTCAAAAATTCAGCCCAAGTTCTGAGGTTCCTTTCAAAAATTCAGCACAAGTTTGAGCTTGTTGCCAGGCTCAAAAGAAAGGTAAGGTAAGAGAACAAAACATGTGCTCACTAGTGGATCCCCTGTGTACCACTGAATTCTAAGCACATTTCTGTCAATCACAGCACATCACCATAGGTAAGCTACAAAAAAAGAACATATCACAAGGCTTTGTCACTCTGCAACTCCTGGGAGAAAGAAGAAAACAGGATGATGAATAGTAATGGGAGGTCCTAAACAATCAAGTGCAAATTGAACATTTGCACAAATAATACATCCTCAGCTCCCAAGGGCAGCACATTTACACAGAAATAAGAGAAGAGCACCTGTTCTCATGTTTTGCATAATGATATAAGGTGGAGTTTCAACTTACTGTATGATGCGCCAAGCTGCAATAAAGAATCACATAAGAATTTTCCTTCTCTGTTTCCCTCCCCTGGGGCTGACTTTGCAAGTTCCTCAGATTTATTTTACATGTTGTGATTGGTCAGCAGATAAAAGCTTTTCCATGGACTTTAGCATTCAGAAATGAGGGGACTCTTTGATAATTTCTGAGCTGAAGGCAAACAGGCTTCTGTGCAGCTTACTATACAGAATTGTGCTGCCAGTCACTCTTTGGATTAATGTGTTAAATTATTTAGAGCTTTGAAACTGGAGAAAGGGATACACAACTCCCCATATTTAAGTCCTGTCTTAAGCTGTGTTTTCTTATGTGAACATCTGCTTGTGTAGGTTGTTTCAATCATTAGAGAGGTTGCTATTTTATTTAGTCACATTTTTTTTCTTCAATAGATATCACCAAGGATTTTGCAGTGAAGTTGTTTGGCAATGTAACAAAGAATGGGCTTGAAACCTCTAACTAACCATTATCCAACCACTGATATATGGGGTAGGATCTGCCATGATGGAATCCAGAGCAGTGATGGTCCCAGAGGCAAACCTATAGTAAAAAGCTATTTAGGTCTATTCAATGTAGAATTTTAAAAGTACTTTTACAAAGAAAGAGGTCTAGATGCCAGCTGAAAGCAGGTTTTTATTTTTATTAATTTTATATATTTATTTAATTTCTATACCGCCCATCAGTCAAAACAACTCTCTGAGCCATTTACATGATCAAAATGCACAAATAAACAACAAAACAATACATTAAAATCAAAGATAAATAATACATCAACACAATAACAACAAACAGTAAAGTGGCTGCAATAAGCCCACAACTGTTTCACAAAATAAGTCCAAGGATACCAGAACACAATTCAATAAAAGGTAATATAGACAGAATAAAAAAATAAAGAATTAAAATTATTAACTGTTAAAATATTGGGTAAATAAAAGATTTTTACCTGACACTGGAAGGAGTAAAGAGTGAGCACCAGGCATATCTCCTTGAAGAGTCAGGCTGCCACTGCTGAAAAGGCCCTTCCCTTGGTTGCCACCTTCTTTATTTCTTTTAGAGGTGGCTCTCTGAGAAGGACCTCAGGGTCCAGGATGGCATATATAGGAATTAATTCAACACCACACCATGGAAATCAATGTTTCATAGCTCCCAGGGAGCTTTTCTTTAGGACACCAAACCAACACATAGCTGAAGTTTGGCAAGGTTGCTGCATCATGTTCCTTTAGACTATGCTCCCAACCAATCAGTCCAAAATCACAGATAGATACAGGCAAGTCAGAGATTGCAGCCAAAGAAAAATGCAGCTACAATTAGATCAGCAGTACTGAATGTGTAAGAGCTAATGATTTCTCATCACACATCAAAATTAGCAGATGTACAACTGTGGGAAAATCTCCATTTAGAACCCCAGAGACTATATCTCACTTTGTAGATGAAAAGAGGACAAGCCCTTACTTGAGAAGCTTGCAGTCTAAAATTCAATCCATAGGAAGAGGAGGCAGATAGGTAAATAGGGAAGTAGTATGCAATCTCAGTTGCATGTGATTAGGCTGGAGCAATATTCCCATACCCAGTGGAATATTGTTCTGAGTAGGCATGCATAGAATTGCTGTGTAAGTTACTGTGCCATATGAGGCTAAGGTTGTTGAGTCAAAAATGATAGAAAGGGTGAATTTTAAGGAGGTGTTTGAATGAAGAAGGAGAGTAGCATCATGCAGGGGAGGCAGAAGGTACAGGTGTACAGGGCAGCCAAAGGGAAAAGGTGGAGTCTATTGAGAGAGCAAGAGACTCTCCTGTGCTGGAAGGTTGTGGCCAACTGCTGTGTTAGCTCTTCAGGGTAGGACAGACTGCAAGATGCCATATATTGCCCTCAAGAGACAGGCTGCCACCACTCACGTATAACTAATTGAATATTAACATTTCATAACTCAGTCTCATTAATGTTTAATAACTTGTAAGCTGAATACATGGGAGTCCAGGCTTACAGATCCAACCTTACAGGGAGGATTTGCCCCTATTCCAGAATTTCCTTTCACCTGCATAGCATGTTTGCTAAGCAGTCCAGTGCTTTCATAAGGCCAATTTCAGGCTGGACAAGACAATCAAAGCAACTCCACTTTCCAGTTCACTATCTTTATTAAGCACCAAGTGGAAAAAAGGCCAGAAATAGTCAATTGCTTTTAAAATAAAATGGAACATCAAACTAATTCACTAACACTTCTTAGGATTCTAAGAGAAACCCACCAAAGCAGTGTATTCTGTGGAGTGGAGTGTTCCTTGAGATATCAGAGTATGGAAAAGATTTGATTTGATGTTTTGCCAACCAAAGGATGAAGTTTCCTTCTAGATACAACTAGTCCTCTGGAGGACTGGCCATCTCCCAGTGAGGAAAATTCAAACCAACCAGCCTAGGAGGACTTGGCCATGCATCTATACTACCTCCTTTACATAAGTAGAATTAGCCTGGAAGTGTTCTGCAAATGCTGATCAATGTGCACAGCTGCCTGACTCTGCTCTTTGTTAAAGAGAAAAAGGATGGGGAATCCTAGTCCGTCATAAGTGCTGAGGAGCAAGGTCCACAGGCAGGGATGTAACAGGATATAAGACTGGGGAGATAAAGAGGGTTCAGTTCATAGAAGGCTTTGAAGGGAAACACAAGGAACATCTGGCAACAAACAGGAAGCCTGTGTAGGGATTTATGGATATGTGTCAGGTGATCAGAGCAACCACAAAAGTGAATGGTTTTTGGAACAGAGTGCTGGATAAAGATGAGGGGACAAATGTGAGACCGCATAATTCCAGATAGGAGACTATAATACACTGAAAAATACTGGGACAATTTAATGGTAGCTGTGACACCAGATATACTGTCCTTGCGGCAAGTACTAGATCTATTGGCATATAAGAGGACCCTTGAATCCAGAAATGGTGAGGCAAAAATCGAGGGGCTGTCTTTTATACCAGGTGACAAATGTTCATCGTACCACAGGACCCCTGTACCCATGAGGGATAGGTTCTAAGCCCTACAGCAGATGCCTGAAACCACAGAACCCCTGTGGAAATGGAAAAATGCAAATGTCTCTAAGGACTCTGGGGATGCCACACCCTTTGTCTTGATGCTAACCAGCCTCAAATGTTTTGTCTCTCGGTGGATGCAAAGACTGCAGAGATATTCATAGCTTTTTCTAGAGATATTCAAGGGTTTTTTAGAGATATGCATCACACAGATGAGAAATATGCCATTAAAGCAATTGTGTTTTTGCTACCATATATACCAGTGAATAAGAGGACCCTTGAAACCAGAAACAGTGAAGCAAAAATTGGGGTTTGTCTTATATGGCCAGCATATGTCAAACACCAATAAAACAGCCTAAAATATTGATCTCATCTTATATGAACGGTGCCTTATATGCCAGTATATACAGGTGTTCCACATTGCCAACTAGCTAGGCAATACAAATTTTGCCTGCCATGGCAGAATCCTGCTAAATCTCTTTGCAACTGCTACAGTCAGTTCTTTGGCAGCATCTAAAGCTGCCAACTATCAGCAGATCCAGCCACTACATTTCCTCGCTCATTTGGCTCATAATATACAACAGTATAGACATAAAATAGTGGCACTTCCCTCATGTGTAACATCATAATTAAATTATTTGAATGTTGGTTCTTGTCATGAGTTGGCTTTTGTAGCTGTGAAATATAATTCAGGGGTATTTGTACTGCATGGTTCTTGTCACGATAAGTCCCTTTCTGAATAAAGCAGCTCAGGTCTTGAAAACCCTTTAAACATAAATGCTGAGTGTTTTCTTCCTTTCAATCTTGCCATCCTGGACTTGTATTAAGCTGGATGTGAGATGCAAGGATATTTTGGGGACACTGGATAAGTGCTCTCGACTGTATGTAGATCCTTTGTAGTAGCTACCAGTGAAATGACGTAAACTGTTTATACTGCCAGTTGCAGAACATTTTAAGATATTGCTAACAATTTTACAACTTGCCTACACTAAAAGGATGGAGCAAATGTTTGGTGAATACTTCACTTTCAGAACTGTTGCATTCATCCATTGTAAACATTTTGAATGCTATCATATGGACAAGACACCTGAGAACAAAAATACATGCGTACACCTCATCAAAGGTGCTCAACTGAGAGATTCTCTGTATGTACTTTTAAAATACTCAAAATTGGTGACAAGGAAAGGACTGTTGAGCCACTTCTGAGTGTTTTAGATTACATGCTGAGGTGGGAGTCATCAGCCTTTTCATACCCATGGGTGCATCTGGAAATCTGGAAAACTGCTGTAGGCACCATCACTAAATGGCTCCTATGGTAGAGGTGGCTAATTACATAATGGCTGTCATGGGGGCTGACTAGTCAAAAGAGGTTGGGACAGAGAAATAGACTAGAGGCTGGAAAGGAAGCAAAAATAGCAAGGTAGAAAAGAGAGAAAGAGCAAAACTAGAGACAGAGAAGCGGAGCAGGGAGATAGTGTAGGAAGCAGGTGCACTGGGACCAAATTGTTGCCCATGAAGACACTCATGACAGGCATTGCCTTTGTCTTTCTCGAGCCAAGCCATGGGTAGGTTGAATGCACCCTGGATGAAGACCCCTGAATTTGTGGGAATAATACATGAATACCTTCACTACCTGGTCAGCTCAATGTGATCTGAGAAGAAAGGTGGCTTTTAAAAAGCTGTTTTTCCATGGTTTGGGAAGTAGGGTCAGAAATGTCCCATCTATTACCTATAAAGCCCTAAACAGCTTGTGACCAGGATACCTAAAGGAACGCCTTCTTCCCTATTTGCTCTCCCACCCCCTGAGATCGGCAGCAGAAGCCCTCCTCCGGGAACCCTCTGTGAAAGGTATTAAGAGACAGAGTACTCGGAGGAGGGCCTTCTCTGCGGTGGCGCCCCAACTATGGAATGCACTCCCCAGAGAGGTCTGCCTGGCGCTGTCATTATATGTTTTTTGGTGCCAGGTTAAGACCTTTTTATTTAACCAATATTTTAATAAGTTTTAATATTGAATGTTACCATCATATTTTAATTGCAGCCGGAGTGGGTCGTTAATTTGTTTATGTTATGTTAGATATTTGTATTTTATGTGTGTCAGCCATCCCGAGGCTCTTGCAAAGGACTGCATACAAATATCCTAAATAAATAAATCTATACCTCCTTTAATGACAGTGTTGGAATCACCATCCCAGTCCACATCTTTACAGTTCAGTGATTGGAGAGCAATAGGTGTACAACTATTGCCAAGACATATAAGTGCTCATTTGTGGAGCAGATTAATCTTGCCTGTTGGAGTTAGGGAGCAGGTAATGTATGGTTTGAAAAGGGAAAGATAAAAAAGACAGAACCATTGTCTCAAGGTATTTGTATTATATGAAATTTATATGAAATAAAATAATTAATGTGGTTTTTCTCTTTTGTTTTTGGAACATCTATTGTTCCTCTCCCAGGAATCTGCAGCTCTTAATGCTGTAAATGCCTTACAATCAGTGCATGGGATAAAGTACCGATACGGCCCTGCCTCAAGCACTTTGTGTAAGTTCTCAAGCAAGCTAGCTCTTTCTTTTCACACACTGTTGTTGCTTCTGCTATAATAAGGCAAGAAAATTATTAGAGGCAAAGGATGTCATAAGGCCCATAGTCCCATAGGCAGCTGAGATTACATTATATTTAGAACCCAGCAAGATACACAAGCTGGAAGTGTTTTCATGCATGCAATATTTCCTTCCTGTAACACTCCTGTGCCATAAGCGGTGTCACTCTGGAGGTCTGCCATACCTTTTGGTGGAAATGAGGGGCTGCTGCCGGAAGGGAGAACTGAAAAACTCCATGGCTGAATAGCCATTCTACCCTATGAATTCCACCAAAGACTTTTGTGGGATTAAACAGCCACAGTCTTCCTTCTTCGGGTCTTCCTGCTATGCTAATTATTGCAGTAATAGATTCTAAGGCTGCCTGTTGAGGAGTACAGCATCAAGAGAGCACAAAGCTAAATGCAAATCACATAAGATCTTTAAAACATGCTGAAGAATTATTCAGTTAAGATTGTTACACAAAGAGTTACACAAATAGAGGCCTAAATCTTACTGAAGAGACAAAAAACTAGTTGCAAGTTAAAGACTGACAAATGTACATGGAAATCTGAATCATATGCATATTACAAAAAAAAACAAAAAACAAAACCCCACATCTGGACATTTCAGTGGAGCTGAAAGAGTGTCACAATAGCTGTGTTTGCACATAGCCATAAGTCAGGTTTCCTGGCTAATCTGGTTTGGAGAAGACAAGCTGAATCCTGTTTGTTCACTTTTGATTTGGCTCTCCAACATGAGTGGACAAATTAAACAGGACATTATATCCATGTCATGCCTGACGATTCGACAGAGACGTCTACTCATGAGGAAGAGGCAGGCGCTAACAGTGAGAGTCAGGCATTGGAAAAAGGGGACTTATATTTAAGGCCCAGTGTCCAGACGGCCCCTCTGCAGCCTGGCTCTGAGACTGCTGAGCAAGGAGCCTCTCTACAGCCTGACCCCTTAGCCTCTGAGAGAACAGCCTCCCCGCAGATTGACGGGGAGGCATCTGAAAGAGCAGCTTCCCTGATTCCAGCTCTGAGCTGCCTGAAGAAGTTGCCCCCACAGCTCCTGACTCTGAAACTACTGAGCAGAGTTCAGGAGAACAAGAGGATTCAATGGAAAGTCTAACGAATGCTAAAGTCAGGAGACCTTTAAGACGACAATTACAATTATGATGACAGGACAGAGGTCTGTCCCATCCACAAGTGGAAAGACAAGACAGGAAGGTCTAATACCACGTTGTCTCCTGAGGTAGCTCAGAGAAGAAGCAGCAAGTGGACTGCAAGGGGCTAGTCATTAGAGCTTATCAGTCACATCGTAAATCTTGTAGTGAATAGCAATAAAAGTATTTAGTTTCACTGCCGGCTGCTGTGTGAGTTAATTGGAGACGTAAGTTACGACCTCACGACAATCTGCAATTTGTCTCTGAACCCAGGGTCCTAGTTTGTTGCTCTAAAAGCAAGGAAAGGCTTGGATTTGTTGTTGATTTATGAATCCTGCCTTGTTTGGAAACAACAAACCAGGATTCCAAGTTTGAATGTAATGCATAGCTATCACTCTCTGGTTTCATGAAAGGGACCTCAAATATCTATTTAAACCGTCTCAATACAGGAAATCAATTATTGCTTCCCCAGTAAGTGGTTACACAGCTGCTGCTTATTAGCTGTAATGAAAGAGAGTTTATCCCCTTTCAAGAAAAGACTTTTCCATTGTTAAACAGTTTTGTACAGTCGTGAAATCCTCCTTCAATATTTTCTTTAAATAAAGGGTGTGGAAATTTATTTGAGTTAATGACCAGATGATCTCCAAGAACCCTTCCATGGGGCAGATGATATCAGGTGAAGGGTCATGGCTTTGCCATGTGCAGCCTTTCCCCAGTTGCCCTTCCAGAAGCACTTCTGTTCAAAATTTCTTCATTTTTCCCTAGTAAGGCAAAACATATAGAGGTGATAGCAGGAGAAACAAAACAGGAAAAAATGGGCTGTTTGTATTTGCATATACCTTATTTATGGTAAGCCTGGATTAGCCAGGAATTCTACTTTACGAGTATGGCCAAGTGAATAAGCATCCATACGCATATTTTACTCTGTTTCTGTTATGTAAATGGCAGATTAATTCCTTGGATTGATCTCCTTTGCTGATCAGGGCATACATATTTGGTTTTGCAAGAGTTACTTAGCTTTCTCCAATATGTTTGCAGAGAATATTGATGTACTTTCCAACTCAAAACTATGTCCTTTTTATATTTTGAGTTGAGAGCAAATTGTTTTGAAGATGATGCAAAGCAAAATAAGTTCTGTTCAATATAGAAGTATTGTAAAAAGTATTAAAATGCATATTGTTCCCAGTGGAGTATGAAATCTTTGAAGTCTGGGGTTTTAATTATTATCAGAATTTGAATGGAACTCTTCATACAGATTTGAAAGACAAAGGTAATTCAGCAGCTTTATAGGTGCATGGTTCAGTAATTTAGTTTGATTTGATCAGAACATTGGAATACTGAATATTGCCATCTTTAAAATAAAGATGGAGAGAAGCATGCAGATAATTCTTTTCTTTTGCATGGAGATGTTTTTCTTATTGGCATAAAATGATTTTTCATGTTGCCAAAGTATATGAGATCAGTTCTTTTTTTATGGCAACCAATAGGACTGGATGATAAAATAACTTTTCATTTTTCTTTACTACCTCATGTAGGTTTGGGGCTTTTAAAATGTCAATATATGTTTGGTTAATGGCCTTTTCAGCCTATATTGCTATACTTTCTCCTGCTGTTCACAGCCACACAGTGCAGGCAGGCAAAGTACGAGATTTAAAAAATACACAATAATATATTGAATATAGAGTATGGCAGAAGTGCTCAACTTGTAATTGGCCTCTGACTCATGAGCGTTGTTCTGCACTCAGCCCTTCATGCAGTATTTTGGATTAATACATAGTTGGGGATCAGATCACTGCTGGGAAAGCAACAAATCTAAACTATATTTCATACATTCATTAGTTATAGATGTGTAGGAGTCAGCTTTTTTTTTTTTTTTTGGCTTTCCAGAAAATGAATGCAGGTTCAATGTAGAGTTAACCTACATCTATGCAAAAAGCATGATTAAGGCTGTAATAAGTAGGATTTACTTCTGAGCAGACATGCATAGGATTATACTATGGGTAACTCTTCAAAGTTTTCAGTTTCTTTTCCTTAGGTCCTATATTACAAAATAAACTTTATAGTTTTATACATCAGGAAAGCTGAAATTATTGTGGAAAAAAGAAAGTAGAGAATGATTTCTGCTTCACATCAACACTTTTATTTTTCATTGTGTTTTCATACCTACTTTAGTATTCATTTCAGTTACTTCATGCTGATTCAAGCTAGTATGAGTCACTGTAAGCAGTCCAGACATGGTAGTTTGTAAATATGTCAGGAAAGGCCAGTACTGCACCATCATGTGAGATATTAAGCAGTACATAAATGGATGGACAAGGGATGCCATTCTGAGGACATTTTAACCAGATAGAACAGCTCTGCTGGCACAAACCAGCATACATAGCATAGCAGCCAGAACTGAATTAAAACTCATACATAGTTTGATACATAGCAGCCAGAACTGAATTAAAACTCACACATCACATCCCTTGTGCATCTCTTCTTCAACTACCTACGCTGTGACACTATACAACACACACATATAGAACTAGAGTGTATGAGGGGGAGTAATGAAACTAAGTCGATGTGAAATTAGATTCCAACCTGCAAAACTTGTTTTCCTTTTGCATCTCTGGAGTTGAGGACATTGAACTGCAGTGGTCTTGCTTATAACTTAATATGCAACTACTATCTTATTATTTCATATACATCACTTGCATTTTTTTTCCTTTTCCAGATGTGAGTTCTGGCAGTTCTATGGACTGGGCATACAAAAATGGTATCCCCTATGCCTTTGCATTTGAGCTGCGTGATACAGGTCATTTTGGATTTTTACTGCCGGAGACCCTAATCAAGCCAACTTGTACAGAGACTATGCTGGCTGTTAAAAATATAACCATGCACTTGCTAAAGAAGTGTTACTAGGGTTTGGAACAGGGGTCAACCCCCCCCCCATTTTTTTTACTTATGGTTGCTTTATGACATAAACAATGTCAAGTCAATTAAGTCTAGAATGTGTCCTGCTGGTGGAGCTCATTAAAAAAAATGTAATCGGCATTCTACATGTAGGTGTTCTTGAAGAACAGGAGGCATACTCTGAGTCTATGTTGAGGTTATACTACATGAGTGTAAACCTTGGTCTTGGTCTGAAAATATGTGGACAGGCATGAAGTAGCAAAACTGCTGGAACCAGGAGTGAGAGCAGGGGACAAAAGCAAGCTTTGCATTGATAAGGGGAGGCAGGGGTTCAGTGTTTCAAGCAGTTCTTGACTCCAGCTCATAACTAGCAGCAGCAGAACAAACTATGTAAACTAACCATTCCTATTCAATTTGGCTTAATTTGCATAATTTCTGCAAGCCAGAAATTTGGCTTCATTGAAGAAGAGAAAATCTTAGCTAATGTTCACAGAAGATTTTAATTTTCATGGAAGAGAATATACACAGCCCCAGATATACCTGTAATGCATACACCATAAGTTAAAGAATCTCTCTTTGGGACAATAAAGCTCCTCCATTTCCCACCTCCATCATCAGTGTTATTAACTTTAATGACAGGAGAATAACATGCTATTATGTATAAAAAATACTGTAAAGACCATGCATAAAAACACAGAAAGAAAAATGCATTTCTCTGTGTACCTTCTGTTCTCTCAAACTGTAGTAGTACCAAGAAAGACCTTCGGAAGGTAGATATAGAATGCAATTCATAGACCCTCACCTAACAGTAGCCTGTATAGCCTGTTCAGGTCATGCATATTGCACCTGATGTAATCATTTATTATAGCTTATGTTTTTCTGTTACCAGTTCATAGCAGAATAACTTGTGCTATTAGGTACTGAAGCCTGGCAAAGCTATTTCTTTCAAGTTATGGCTTATGCATAGCCTTTGCTCTAGCGTAAACTCCAGTGATAATTTTGCATCCAATTTACTAGCAGGTGCAAACAAGCAATATATTTTAGGAGAGGCAAGCTATAAAAGAAACCTGACTTTATGCTATAGCTCATGGGCACACAGTTCTTTGGCTTGGGGTTGAGGGCCTGAATACACATACACATATCCACTCCACTCCTTCCCCTAGCATTCTTGATAAATAGCACTTCTTCCTGTGAGAAAAGAATGATCTCCATGAGCATCTCTGAGAACTTTTCTCTACCATTTACTCCAGCTATCCTGATAAATGTCACTCTTTCCCATGAAGCAAGAGTAATCTTATCAGTATTTCTAGAAAAGGGAGTGGAAGGCCTTCCCAGTGCCTGGATGACTTAGTTAGCAGTAGACAGTCTGATAAATAACTGTGTTTGAAGCATGCAAGCCACTAAAGGTGAGTACCAAACACAGCTGGGTCTGGTGATGAATGGGGCAGGGGCAGCAATGTAGTCATTTCAGGTAAGGCACAATATGATCTCATCACATGTGAGATCTGATAGCAGCATTCTGGGTTAGTTGCAACTTCTGGACAATCTTTAAAGGCAGGGCTATACAAGCCACTTTATAGTAATGCAACCTAGAAGATGCCTTAACACAGAACATGGGTAACAGGTTAAGCTGACAAATAATAGCAGATTATGTTCAGGTCCATCATTAATGCCAGTTATCACATAGACAAGAATCCTGATCCAAGATATGGGTGGCATGTGGATTTTGCATGCAGATTGTTCCAGCATCATGTGTGCAGAACTTTGGGGAGGGAGGTTGAAAACTCTTGGAACTGAGCTGGCCAACATGCATATGGAATTCTGGTCCATGTCCAGAGACCCATGAGAACAAAAGTAGAATGTACACATGCTTCTGGAGTCCCTCCCCTTGATGGGAAAGGAAACTCATTTTTGAAATAGATTTCTATTAATCCTCTTTGACCTAAGTTTGCAAAACAGATTGCTTGTTGGATTATCAGTGAGATTAATTCTTATAGCCAGAAAAAAACAAAATGTACTTGAAATTCATGTTTGAGGAACTGGGGGTATGGACTAATACAAACATGTTCAATAAGTATAAACTAATCTGTTTTACAAACTTAGACCAAATAAATATGCTTCAGCGATGTTTAACTTAGTATAACTGTATTATTCTTGTGTGATGCAGTTTCTGAACTGAGGCACCAGTTCTTTCCATGAGAAGTAAAAGGTGGGAAAATAATTCTTTTCTCTACCATCCTCTTTCAACGCTATAGGCTTGACAGCCATCTGTAGGGTGGCTTTGAAAGCTCTTCAGTGATTGTATATTTACAAGCGTTTTAAGACTTGCATGTCAGCTGGCTGAGATGCATCAGTTGTGTGGGTATTTGGTGGGAAACCAGTGAACTCAATTAAGCAGCAACACAGCCGCATCTATTTGATACTGTAAGAAAGGTTTAGATGGCAATATCAATTGAGTGGTGAATTTGTGTGCTAAAAGTATGAAACTGCAGCTTGATCCAGAAATACCAGAATACAATGCTCTCCTTTTATATTAGGAGTGCAGAATCAATTAGCAACATAAAAGTACCAGCCTTCTGTATTTTCTTTTCAGTACAATGAAATAGGCTCTCTCTTTCTCTCTCTCTATCTCATTCTCTCTCACACACATTTTCTCTGCGTGTGTGTGTGTGAGAGAGAGAGAGAGGAAGAGAGAGGGAGAGAGGGAGAGAAAGAGTTCTGTAATATCCATTCCAACAAGAATAATGTGATAGCTTCTCTACACATACTGAATAAGCTTCCTGTGAGTAGATGCTTTTCTATCAAATCTCTTATGCTCTCCAGCACAGGAAAAGAAAGGCCTGGAGATCTGAAAGAATTGTTTAAAAAAATCAATGGGATGGTCGTCAAAATATGTGACAAATGCTTTTAATATGTGTGTTTTATGTGATGCATATACACATCATGTCATGTGCATATCTAAGCATGTGTTTGTGTATTTCCATTTGAACCTTACATTACTGTTGTCTATAATAGATACTTAGCACAGGCAGACCATTACATAGGAGTATTCAAATCCAGACACTGAAAATACACAGTGTTTTCTTTGGCCTTTTTATAATTAATTTAATCCTTATGTTAAAAATTCACACTCCAGTTGCTCAGTGAAAAAGATCACTTATTCATAGGGAGAAATACATATTCTTGATCTCACATTTCACCCATGCTTTTATAAAAACACAGTGTGCATGGGCTTCTATCCCATAGGACCTATGGAAACCACTGCTGTCAAATTAATCCAGAGACATTAAATTCACTCAGCTCAGCAGACGCTTTCACTTCAGGTGCAATATTGGGCAGTCATCCATGGTGAAGAACACTCACTCTGTTGGTAAATTACATTCCTTTTCCTTAACCAGCATAAGGTTCCTTTCCCCAAAAGAGTTCAAGAATAAGGCAAATTTAATTCTTAACATCTGGTCTCCTAAACAGTGCTACCATGTTCCACTTAACTGTTACACAGAATTTACAAAGATTTTATGAAATTCCATAAACAACAAAAATATGGGCTTCTCACAGCAGCATACAGATTTCTCCCACGTCACCCCTGAGGACTGGGTCTTACTTCATCAGAGCACAAGGTGCAAGAGATGTAAGTAGGGGAAAGAACAACAGAACTGGAGCAATTCCACTATGTTACACTTTGTATCCAAACCTTGCTTTGTCTGGAAGTCACACATTTTTCAGGAAATAACACCTCATTTTAAAAGCTATTCCACTTTTTCCCTTCTCTGGCATTGCTAAGTTTTACCATCTTGTACCCCTGTCTTCCATTAAATTTTCAGCCTTGTGGAAGCTGGTAAGAACCATGAACCCCTAAAGTTTCTATTCAGAACTGGTTACATTTGTTCCAATATTTTATGGTACAATGGGTCAGGAAAAAATGCCATCCTCCACCAAAAGTTTTCTCCTCCTTTCAATCACTAGGACCTTTCTCAACTAGAGCCTTGATGTTGCATGCAGTGCCCTGGTACCATAATAAAATTTATTCACCTGGTAAGTTAGGTTTCATCTTTCAATCTGAGAAATTATTCTGTTTGATCTGGGAGGACCTCTAGCCATCATATTGGCTGATACCTAGAGAATTTCACATTCCCGTTTGTACATGTTGGCTTGGCCTTTTCTAGATGTGAATGTTATCTATGTGTTCTCCTTCCTATCTGCTCTGCATTTTCTATGCTTAAAGCTGCTTGCAAACAGCAATTTCATAAGAATAAGTGAAGTAACATCAGCCATCAAACACCTTCCAAAGTAATTTCTGCAGGAGTCAAAAGATCAACTCAGTACTTTCTGATGGAACAAATTCATGTGTTTGGACAGTATCAGTAAAGGTAGTTGATTCTAACATACACTAGGCTGACCTAATGACCACATGAAGGCTCATATGGAATAATGGGTTTATTTTTATTTTTCAGAGTGGAAAAGAGCTTGTGTAGTGTTCTTAATATGTGTGAATGCTAATAGGTCATGGTATTTTTTCTACAGTGGGATTCATACTGCTTTCCATATGATGTTGTTTACCTCTAAGTGCTCTCAAGCCAATTCAGTGACCATATTGACTGGATTCAGACAACACAATTACCCAGGTTCAAGGATTAAGTGTAAATGTGTTGCTGAATCATGGGTGGTTGTTGAAATATGGGTTAACGTGTTGTCTCAAAAGAGGGTGCATCTTTATCCCATGCTAGTGTACACTTGCAGCCTGCTAATGTGGCAGAAGCTTCTTGTTCCTAGGGCAAGAGTGTGAGGGGAGCAGCTGAGGCTACATAGCAATGGATGGTAGCCGTCTCTCTCCCTTCATGTTGACCATCACATGGAAAGCATATCATAGTTACAAAACATAGAGGTAAGTATCGCATTCCTCTTTTCTCTAATAAATGGTTCATAAATTTGGCACAGATAAAATGCAGTATGGCATGGTACACTTATTTTCTTGAAGCACCTTTTCCACAGAATAACCTGAACTTGAT